GCGAAAGGAAAGATATCTAAGATGTTGGTGACTAAGTATTTTCATCATGCTATTCCTCTTCTGGGCCCAGTTCGAAAAAACACCACGATCATTAAGGTTCCTGGATCAAACAACACTAAGTTCATTACACCTGTACCTTCTTCAAAACCGTAAGGTCAACCGCCTGAATGTTTAGCTACAACATAAATGACGGTTGAAGGGTGACTGAGGTTCTCTCAGAGGCAACTGCACCCGTATTCAGGCAAAGTGAATAGTTATGGTGACGAAAGACCAGAGAGACTGGAATGGCCACTTCTGTCTTAGTAGCCGTCATCAGCCAACCATACTCAATCCCAGCTCGTACACCAATCGAGGTTCGAACCCGCGACCTTTTGATCAGAAGTCCAACACTCTAACCTTTGAGCCACGGCAATTTTCGTCTGAGGCTATGTGGCTGCTGGCGGGGCTCAAGACTGAGCTCCAAGGCAGAACGAGACGAATAAATTCGGTAAGTCATCGGTGAACGTCACTTCGCCTACGCAAGAAAGGTGCCCGGACATGCAGATCCATCTCTACACTAACGTTGTGCACTTGACGAAAGTCGTTGATTCGGTGAACCGTGTTTGACTGTGGAAAATCACACGGAAACTCGGTTATCCTGAGCGGTTCACGTACATGGTGCGTCAGCTCCACAACGGGATGACGACAAGCCTAACTGAAAACTGGATGGACTCCGAAGCATCAGCAGTGACCAACGGAATGAAGCAGAACTGCGTACCGGCTTCCCACCTCGTGTCCTCTGCCATGCCGATGGACGTCTACTGTAATGACCGTCCTGGGATCCGCATCGCCTACAGGAATTATGGACACCTTCTCATTAGCCGACGCATGCAGGCCCCAAAGCTTGTGTCCACGGCCTGCTCTTTGTGGATGACTGCACATTGAACACCGCGACGGAAGAAGAAATTCAAAGGAACACGTACCTCTTCACTACCGGCTACGCCAACTTTGGGCTGACCCCGAATACGGGCAAAACAGTGGTCATGCATCATGCTACACCAAACCTCCCTATGGTGGATCTATCTCCCCTCCTCTCCATCTCTGTTTTTGATGATGGAGGAGCCC